AGCAATGGCCTCCAACTTAATAGCAATGGCCTCCAACCTAATAGCAATGGCCTCCAACCTAATTACAATGGCCTCCAACCTAATTACAATGGCCTCCAACCTAACAATGGCCTCCAACCTACTACTGTTGGCTCTAGCAAGGTGCATGCCGATGTCTGTGCCAGCTTTTTTCGACCTTCATCCGACAGATCGATACCCTTTGCACCCTTTTTGAAGCGACGGAAAGGTCAGTTGGCCAGACCAAAGCACCACTCCAGCTGATCAGCTGGCCGCTTCTTTGTGAATGAAAGCCGTTTCAGTCACTGGATGGTTGCTGAATGTGCCCTCCAGGTATTTGGTGGTTCCTGCCCGTCCAATAGGCCTGTTCGGGATGGGGCAAGATTTGGGCCCGAGACCTACAGCTTTGAGCTCGAGCCATCTCGAGCCTAGTAGGTTTCAAGGAAATAGGACTTTCTTTGGTCAAATCGACGCGAGACGTGACCTCAGCTTCCGGTGCCGTCCGGTCCGTTCGTGATGACCGGTTTTGGACCGAACGACGTGCGCACTGCGCATCAGGACACGAGCTGGTCGATGTCCAGGAGTCATGGCCTCGCAGCGCAGCGGCCCAAGCGCCGCAGAGGCCGCGCATCCGCTGAGGCCGTTGAAGAATGCGATGCTCCTCGATAGGCCGCGCATTTTTGTTCCTTGGATAGGTGTTGTGGATGGGATGGAAGCAAAGAAAAAAACAGATAGACACTCCAGCTGTTTGGACTACAGGCATGCGGCGATCAACCATTGATCAACCATTGATCAACCTCATTGCGGTGCCTTTATAAATTTGTGGTGATACAGTTAAGCTTCCACTGGGTGCGAAAGGACATACGAAAACAAACGAAAACATAGGACCCAAAATAGCAAAGAACAAGTGGGATGTTTTTGTTCTTTGTTTTCCATTGTTTTCCCTTTATATTTGTATATATATTTGTCTTACTTGTTTCACTACTTAATAACATGTTTTTTTGTCAAAACTACAATCTTGCAGGATCCTCGAGATCAAACAGTGAAACAATAACAAAATGACACGATTTGAAAATAAAAGGAACACATTAGGACATAGGAACAATAGGACAAACACGAGGAAAACAACAGGACACCTATGTTCCCTTATGTTTTGCCCATTGCTTTCCTACCTTTGTTTCAATTAATTGGTCATCCTATTTTCTCAAATTGTATGATTTTGCTATATCCAATCCCGGCGCGAGCTTCATTTGGATCAAACATAAATAAATATTATATATATGTTTATATATATATAGATATATCCTCACGGGTTTACTTAAGACTGTGACACGTTTGTGAAAAACACATTTCTTTTTTTTTTTTTTAAATGTTTCTTTAGGAAGACAAATAGCGAAAACAAAACGAAGCCGTCTGTATAAAAGCCAACTACACCTCCAACGTCCAAACGGTCCCATCCAAAAAAGTCTCCAGGTCGCATTGGAAACACATTTTCAAGCCACACACGCTTCCCAGTGCGCGTAGAGCTTGTGTCGACGCTATGGGGCATTTGGGTACGAGCTCCGAAGCCACTACTGGTAAACGTTATGTGCACAAGAAAACATGTGTGCGCAACACAGCACGCGTCGCATTACGTAGCGTATACGTATTGGTGTGCAGAGCGCAGAAGAGTTTCCTTTGTATGGGTGTGCAATTTGAACTGAACGTTAACATACCCACCCGACCCCACTCTCAGTCACTCGCATTGTGTAGCAGCGTAGAAGGGTTTCTTCTGTATGGGTGTGCAAACTGAACAGAACGTTAACTTGCCATCCGA